TGCTTCTAGAAGCAATCAGTGCTTTGGCTGAGCTGCTAGCCACATGTCACAGAACTAGCTGCACTCCCCAGCAAGACCAGGGTGCAGGACAGGAATCCCTGTTGCCGCCCCTGTTTTGCTGTAAGAAGTTGGTTGATGTTTCTGTTGTGGGATTAGATGGGTGAAGGTTGTGAGCACAGCATGTATTCTTGGCTTTTGTGCTTATAATGAGACCAGTAATGCTACAGAGTGAATAGTCCTTTGGCTGTTCTTTCAAGGTGTGGAATAGTAGGATTTAAAGAAAATACACATTAAAAAAAAAAAAAGATCCCTTAACAATGCTTTCAAGCATAAGGTCTTAGCACCTATCTGTTGAAAAATTTGAGAGAATCAGGGTGAAAGGGCTGTTGAAATATTCAGAAGTAAGCATATAAAAGACTGTCTAGGCATATGCAGTCCTGTGTGTAAATCAGAGATTGTTTATTGTGAGAGCATATTCTCAAAGCAGCTGCTCACAATGGCTTGTTGTACCAGTTTTACAAGATTTTCTGAAGAAAATCAAGATACCAAACTTAGTTTGCTGCCAGAGTTTGTTTCACACAGAAGTCCTACGTTTTGCACCCTATGCTGGCAGGCTTTGTGCTTTCAGAAAGAACTTTGTTTCTCTTTCTTGATCAGGAATAGATCCAAGAATAAATGAAGGGGGAGAAGAATATTTCTTTGCAGTTTTGTTTTCTTTTCAGAAGCTGGAAGTTAGGAGGGAGGAATACTAGAAACTGAGGTAAGGGTTTTTAGCCACAGACTGTGAATCGTGTATTAAAACTCCCCACCATGTGTTCAGAAGGGAATTGAACACAAGGAGCTAGGCGATGTGCAAGGTCTCTTTCCACCCAGTTTTGGCAGTGCTGCTGGGATGTACGGGGTACCCTTTCCTTGATGTTGTGTGTGATTAATCATCTTGAAATAACACGTGGGAGAAAACAGATCTGCAGCTTATTTTCAGAAAGTTTCGTATTAAAATCCCCTGTTCTTTTCTCCATCCCTTGCACCTTTTCCTCCTCTTCCTCACCTGAGGGCTGCAGGTGACTTCTGCGTGCAACATGTTTTCTCTGATCAGCTCCTTGAAGGCTAAACCCCTGATCTTCTGTAAAAATGCCACTCCTCATTAATGTTTTATGAACTGAGCTTATTAACCTGACTTTCATTTTGTGTAAACTGTAATTAAAATGTATGAAGAACTTGACTTGCATTTGCCCTTCTGGGTTGATTGTTTGGTCTGCCGTAACAGCATCCATCAAGATCATACCAATGGGGTTTTTTTGGTTGTTGTTGGTGTTTTTTTAAGGGAGACTTGAATCATTTAATGGGGGACAACTGGAGCCCAGGAATGCCTTTTCCTTTTGGCAAGACTTCTGCAGCCATGTGTATATACTGTGGACCTCTGGCTGGAAATGCAAAGAGCGAGTTCAGCTCACAGCCTGTTCTAGAAAAGTCAGTACACTCTTTCTCTCCAGATATCTGCTTTTTAGGTGATGTTTTAAATTCCTTCTGCCCTTTCTTGGGGGCACTGGTGAAGAAGGTAGAAAGGAGTGATGTTACTTGTGACTCTACTTGAAACATTTCTCTAGTAGAGAATTCTCAGATACTGAAACTCAAGGACAAATGTGGTAGGAGCCCAAACAGACTGCTGAATGTCAGAGATGTGAGGCAGACTGGGAGAGTCACTCACTCAGGCAGTCCAGCTATTGTAACAGTTGTGCACATTTGTGGATAGATAAATCTGTGATAGAAGCCTTTTTCTGCATTTATACCTGTCTAAAGGCAGCATACCACAGGTAAAAGCCACTGCTCAGCATGCCACCAGGTTTTCCTCCATAACTTAAAAAAAAATTATGACTTTTTTTAACACTTAAATTTTAAATTCTGTGATCCTCATGTATTACATGGCTGAACTTCCTATTGATAAAGAGTCAAGGGAACTGTTTTGAACAACGTGATTGTTAAGCTTGGGTGTTGTTGATAGCTGTGACTGTGATGCTGATGCTTGCAGTAGATGGCAACTTTCGCCATCTTAGTTCAGTCATTCAGAGGTGCTTCTTTTCTCTCTCTCTCTTTTTTTATTTTTTTATTTTTATTTTATTTTTTTTATTTTTTATTTTTTTTTAGTGCCTGATCTGATTATCTCTGCTTCTGCTGCTTTACACTGCACTGCATGTGGTCTGCTTTTTACAACCCAGGATTCACACAATGAATGTAAGGCTCCGTGCAGTCGCCCTTGTAGTTTTAATCTCCCCTTGCCCAGGTTTTGAAAGGAAGGCTGGTGCGCCTTTATGCCTGGATTAATGCTGGTATGTGACTTAATTAATTAAATAGCATAATCCATCCAAAGAAACCTGTTTCTCTCTCCTCAGATTGCTGTTCCTCATTTCTCACACAGTAAGGCTGTTTCTTGTGATGCACATAATCGAGGGTACCTCTTCCTCAGCAGATGGAAAGCTGCCTTTTAGCCACACTCGTGTATAAATTGTTTGGGGGCAGATGTTTGTCAGGGATGCTTTTTCCTTTCCTGAGAGGAAGGTTAACAAAATATTTAAACTGTAACATACTTACAGCCTGCGTGCACAGGGTTTGTTTAAAGGAGGAGAGGGCTATTTATGGAAAGCATGTGGTTTACTTTTTTCCCCCAAAGTGGGATTGTTGCTCTGGGGTTTGGCATGCCTGGTCTGTAGTGTATGTGAAACGAGGAGAGGAAGCTTTTGGGAAACCTTCCCTACATTTAAGTCCACTTTCTCACATCCAGGTGAGAAAACTTAGCGATGGTTGTGTTTTACGTGCTCATGTTTTTGCAATTAGCTTTTGAGTGGTATTTTTAATCTTTTACAATCAAACAATTCATTTGTTTCCTCCATGGTAGCTGTATGCTGATAATTTAAATTAAGTGCAAATTACGGGTGCTGATTAGGAGTGATAGGAGGAGATGACATTGCAGCCCTTGCGAATGCTTCATTGTAATAAAATGTCAATTTTAAAGTTCATTTCATTGCATTTAAAGTGAAGTGTTTAAAGTAAGTGTGGATAGCTGGAAAAGTTGCCATGCTGCTTAAAAAAGATTATATGATCAGATGAGATACTTGGTTGTCAATTATGGCTCATCAGGAAACATTAGTCTTTGATGCATGGCATCTGAGGAGGATGGTTTTACTTTTCTGGGTCTTTTAGCACTTGTGTTTTGTAGTTTCAGGATTGAGTCATACACTCAGCTTGTAATATTGGCAAGACTGCCACCATGTTTCATGGACCAAAGCAAATCAGTTCTTTGCTTCATCTTGAAGGAGTCTGTGATGTCCTCTTCCACAAATCTGAACGACAACTCACATTGTTGTGTGCATCTCAAGCCTTTACATGTCATGCTGCATGCCCTACATCTAGAGGCTCATGCTCATCTCCAAAGGATGCTGCAAGTCCTGCTGAGAGTGGCCATACCTTCCTGCCCAAGTGGGGAGCGTGATGAACTCAATGCAGGAGAGCCATAGGAAGCTGGTGGTGCAAAGGGTTGTGCTGTGCAACATGAACTTTTTGCCCATGCACAAGCTTAGGGGACAATTCCAGCATAGGTGCAGTACCTTACAGTGAACTTTGAATACGCTTAGATTTTTGCTTGGACCATTAAGCCCTTTCATCTAATGAAAATTACTTTCTTTTAAAAAGAAAAACATTAAAACAAATGATAAATGATTTTTCTTTTGCTCCGTAATGACTTTTTTTTTTTTTTTTTCTTTTTATCTGAGAGCTTTCAGAGTGCTTAGCCTTGCAAGTTCAGATTTCTTTTTCTAAATTGCTTTACAAAATCACAGGATGTTTCTGTGGTGAGTGTACATCTGTGCTGGCTTTCATTGAGCTTTGGAAATAGGTCAGGAATTAAAGCTCCGGCTTTGTGGTTCTGAGGAAAGCCCTTAAGAAACTCTCGCAGACATAAGAGGGTAAAGAGGGGTCACTAGAAATGCAGTTTGACCATGTATAGGCTGTGTGGTCTCTCTTGTGTGTGTGTGTGCACAGCTATACTCTATACACGTGCATATGTATGAGCTTTTGAAATGATGCTCTTCAGTGCTTGCTTAGAATAGACATTGCTAAAGAGGGGGAAAAAAAAAAAGGTGGCTATGGGAAATCAAGGAGATGCTCTGTGGTTATCTGTTGATGGTAACTCTTTATGCGTCTTGGGCTTAGCTCCATTGTTTTGTGCACCTATGTGGAAAAAAAACCAACAAAACAAAACAACAAACCTGTGTGAGGCTTGCCTTTACAGTGTGGCTGCATTGCCATGGAAACCAGCAGGCAACAAATCACTGCTGTGCCTGCCTGCGGGCAGAGAGGGTGCGGACAGACAGAGGTCAGGGGACTGGCATCTGCCCTGTGCTGCCTTCCTGCATCTTGAAAGTACTTTGAAGATGGAGGCAATGAGAAGAGGGATGGAGTTAAACCTGGACGTGGATTTTGTAGCTTTTCCTGCAATGTCTGAAGAAATTTAATAATAATAATAATTAAAGTCTTAAGGGAAAAAGTAAGAAAGCTAAAGAGAAATCAAGCAGAACAAGATCCAAGATTTGCTGTAAATGGAATTCCCCTGTTCTTGCCCTTCCACTCTTCCTAGGATCTTACATAGCAGGATTACCATGGGTGAGGTTTTTTCTTTGCAGCAGAAAGAAAATGGAATGGGAGGAGAGAGAAAATGGTCGTTGTTTTTGTGTTGGTTTTTTTCTTTTTTTTTTTTTTTTCTCCAAAACACATTTTTACTTTCCTTTGGCATAAGCAACTTCTTTCATCTCTCCCTAAGTCCCTAATTTATTAGTCCTGTGGGTGGTCTAGACAACCTCATAGCAGTGTAGCCTTTTTGCTATCCCAAAATATTAATTTCCAGGCATGCTTTGTAGGCAGGACACCTTCATGGTATTCTCAATTGTTCCTATTCACGTATCCACGTTGCTCTGACCGTCTCCTCCTCACCTTTCCCCTGACTCCAGGTCTCTCTGCATATGCAGAGGTGCAGCACAGCCCCTGGCTCTCAATACAATCTACAGATGAAGGAGGCAAAATAACAATTCCAGGCACTGTAAAGAGGACCTTTTTCTTTGATGAGGACATTGCTGGGTTTAACTAGCAGAAGGTAAGCATGGCTAGAGGATGACAAATCTGGGTGGAACGTAACTAACCATGGATATTATCAACACAGCCTCCAAGGTGTTTTTTCCTCTCTGTAGCTCCCAGCAGCCTTTCTGAGATTGCTGAATTAAACCAGACTACTTGGCTGGAAAGACAGACATACTAGGAAGATTTTTGGTACACGTTCATTTCTTCCCCATTCTGTCTTCCAAGCTATATGTGGAGCTTATGGGCAGCATGCAGTGTCAAAATATTTTAAGCATGGCCTCTTCCTACCTTGTACCCCTTTACCTGCTCTGTTTGACCCCAGCTCCTTCAGATGGCAGTGTAATGACAGCCTCGTGCAGTTCCCGGTGCAGTCTGTGTGCCAAAGCCAACCACAATTATGCCCTCAATTCCTGATCTGGGCAGCAGGGTGAAGGTGAGCAGACCTCACTGCCATGAGGTCACAGCAATGCTGTGCCCTTGGGTCCAGCTCCTAGCCACGTGTGGCTCATTGTCACATCTGTGTGTCACTGCTGATTGTGTCCTCACATGGTGATGCACTGATTGCTGTCGTCTCCTCTCTAAATGAAGATATCCTCCCCTCTTCATGTATTTTGTTACTGTGCATTTTTTGTTTGTTTGTTTGTTTGTTCTGTTTTTTTCTTCCAAATTATAAGCTTGTATCCCTGCATGCATCCTAGCAAAAAAGAAATGGGCTGATAAAGATTTAAATAAGCACTCTAAGAATGAGGATGACATTCAAGCTCAAAAAAAAAAAAAAAAAAAAAAATCTGAAAGTCGACTCTGTTATATTTTCTCTTCTTTTCTTTCAACTTCTAAAATGTCACTGCCAAGAGCAGTGACCACAGTGGTGAATGAAGCTATGGAAAAAGAGAGCTGTTTGTGTCGTTATAAGATCTAGTCCCCTCTGTTCTGAAAATGTGAGTCAGGGAAATGTGTGCACAAAAGTGCAGAAACAAATACCTGGTCTCCTTCTAGCATGAAAATACTTGGAATGCAAAAAGATTGTCTTTATGCATGTGCTTTGTTTATGAAGTGAATTGGTGAAATTTGGAATGCTTCTTAAAGAGGCCTTTTGCCATTCTTTCCCCATAGTCTTAAGTCATGCCTTTGCATAATGATGTAATCTATAGTGGGCAGAAAGAATTCAGCATAACTATGAATAATGGCAGTATTTGTGGTGAACTGGTCGTGACATTCTCACTTGAGCATTTCTCTTTGGGAACTACTTCTTCAAGTCATGAGGCTTGCAGTAACATCAAGAGAAAGAGCAGCACAAGAATAGCCTGGGTAAGGGAGAAAGAGGACACTTGTTTTAGAGAGTCCACCACAGAAGGAAAAGAAAGGAGTCTTGCTTGAAATACTGACATTTTTAGTTATCTCTTTGTGACATTCCCTCCACCACCACCACGTTTTCTATGTGTCTGCAGCCTTGTGCACAAAACTCACCGGAGTCCCAGTGAGGGGGAAAAACAACTTGCAAGAAACTAGGTGAGTAGGGTAATAAAAGGGAAGCATTAAGCTGATAAGAGCTTCTCAGCAGTGTTTAAAAACAAAGAAACGGACAGCAAACACAGCAACAAACAAAAGAAGCTGAAAAAAGACTGTGCTTTTAAACGTGCTGGAATCAAACATGCTACCCCAGATATAGATTCGTCTGGGCAGAGGAAGAAGGAAAATATGTTAGTTCTTAAGATTGTGTTTAAGTAGGAATAGAATGTAAACAGTGTCATGTCAGAATGAACTACATCCATCATGCCTCATTGGTGCCCATTGGTATCTTTGAAGGTTGGGTTTATAGAGGTAAGTTATTTATTATGTAGTAGACAGAAATGTGTGAAAAAAGCAGGCCTCCCCATTGTAACTTAAAAAGGCAAAGAAGCTCCTATGGATAAATACTTGCTGTTGTCACTATACTGTTATACAGGAATAGTTTGGGCACTAATTTTGAGTTAGAGCAGGTTTAAAGTACTGTGGTAATGCTGATTGGATGTGTAGGGTGCAATTGCTTTCTGCAAAAATACATTTACAGGAAGACAAGTTAAATGGAAAACAAGTATCTGTGGTTCAGGGCAGAAGAATTATTAATGTTCCAGTGACTTTTGTAAACTTAATATCTGGGAAGTCAGTTGTCAGTTAAGAAAGTCACAAGTACTCAGGCTTGGTTTAAATTCAGTCTCACAAAATTTGTTTGAATATGTGAGTAGGAATCCAAATATTGCAGTGATAGAAGAGCTTAACACTCATTAAATTCTTACGTGTTATTTACAGGACACTGGGAACAGTTGAAGAAGCAGAAAGTTATACTGTTCTTCTCTGGTGTAAAATATTACTGAAAAAGTCATCAAGAGGAGCATAAAATTTGATTTATAATTTTAAAAAAGTGATATGAGAACACTTGGCACTGTGTCCTTTGTGCTACATAAGAGATTCTTCCAATATATGAAAAAATAACGGTCCTCAGAGAGGAGAAAAGAAAACCATGTCAAATATGGTACTTTTCTGACTGTGCTGTGAATTTCTGCAGGGATTTTTCAAACACAAAATGAATTATTCTAAACAACAGTAGCCTTATTTTCAAGATTTCACAAATTTACACAAAGCATATTAAAATGGTGTACTTTGTTCTGAAGTGCAGTTGATCCATAGTTAAAAGGGTTGAAGTTAACCTCATAAGCTGGTATAGCGAGGGTATGTTAGAAACTGTTAGTAGTAATGAGTCTGAAATGTGGCCTCTAGTCTTCAAAGGGGTTTGAAAAAGTAGTTTCACACAGCAAATGATCCAACTTCTTTCAAATACATTTTGCATTTTATCTGACTTGTAAGAATTTGTAACCAGAGACTATAGACCAATCACCCATCCAAAGTAAGCAGGGATATTAAATTAGCAGAGGAAGCAATCACCAGCTTTTTTTTTTTTTTTGTCTCATTTGTGTGACAAAAGTATATGGAAGTCCCAGCTGAAAGTAGGGGCTTGGGTTGTTTGGTCGTGTATAAAAGCAGTGTATGCTGCACAGTGAGAAAAGATTGCAGAGAGATATGCAGTAGATATGCAGTAAACTGTCTGACATGAGAAAGTTGTATGAAGAGTTTTGTGAGGAAGGAATAGGAATAATTACATAAAATTTATTTTGCTATGGTTAAAATCATGCAGATGATAGTCTAAATTCTTGTGATTTTTGCCTTTCATTTGAGGAGGAGTGTGTGGGAAGTTTGATTTTAAGCTGAAGTAATCTAAATGATTTGCATTATTTGGGAATTCTTTTAATTTAAGACTCTGTGATGCAGTAGTTTATGAGAAGAGAAGAATTTCACTCAGTCGTGACCCAGAAATATTAAATGTTCCCTTAACAAACAATACTCAGTTCTTCACTGAAATCATGGAGCTGTCTTTTCTTAGGCAGACCATTGAGTTTTGTATCAGTTTTGTTTTTTGTATAAGTCTTTTCCTGCTAAGGAAGTAGCTTTGATCAGTAATTTACTTACTTTCCTTAGGTTTTCACTGGTTAAAATCTCTCTTAGTTAGTACCCAAAACACAAATCCCTGATTGGCTTATGCAGAAAGTCTGAAGCAAGCAATTCATTCAATTCCTTGCATCTCCAAAAGATGAAACAACAGTAAGAAAACAATCATGATGTCTGATTTAATTGAATCCACTTTTATTGTGTAAGTGCTCACAGTATTAGAATATTCTCCCTAACAACCACACTGTGGTTATCAACTGAGCCCCACTGCAGGCTTAAGGTCCTTGCAGCCACTTCTCAGTGGCTCCCTGCAGCAGTCCAGATCCTTCCCCATTTGGCAGAGGACTTTGGTACATATTCAGAGTTACTTGATTGAAGTTTCTGTAAAGACAGACAGATAAGTATGTTCCTGAATCAGCAGCTGATATGTTACATTTCTTAGAGGTTTCCAGAAACCTTGAATTTCATAAATACTATCTTTGCTGTTTTCCAAGCTGAGGATAACCTACAACTGAAAAACAAACTCAAAACACGTTAGTTTGGAACATGCTGAAAAGCTTCCTAAAGTTCCTCTTCCTGTCACTACTAAGGCTTGTTTTTACTAAGACTGTTTGCATTTGAGTAGCCTTAAATCAATAAATAAAATGGCAGAAACCTGTTTTTCTGGAAACTACATTTAAAAAACAAACAAACAAAACATAGTTGGTAACATGAATTAATTTCTTGTAGAGGAAGAAGCAATAATTGAGTAACTGAGTCATTAGACAGCTTTTGACTGTAATATTTCTCTCCGTTTAAGGTGGTATTTTATGGGCAGCTGCCTGTGGTGAAGAAAAGAAATAAATTTTAGGAGAATGAAAATCCCAGGTTTTCACCACAGAATTAGATGTAAGAATGCATGCCAATTTCCATACAGTTATTTTCTAATGTGTAACGCCCGCTTACATGCTTACTGTAAAACTCTACTGATAAAGTATTAGGATGTTTGTTAGAAAGACATCCTTACTCCATTCCTGAGTATTAAAAGCAGAATCAAAACTATTCTGATAGGCTGTTTGATTAATTTGTGCGCTGTCTTAATTGTGAGAGTGGCTTTACTCACTAAGAGATCTAAACTTAGCCTTCGCTGTACAGTATTCTCAACTTCCATTCATTATTTTGTCTTCTGCAAAGTCTGAGCTGCTTGTACTTCTACTGAACAAAGTGCAAAGTTCCAGCTGGCTGTAGGGATTGTAGGCTTGAGACCCAAATCATTCTTCAACACCTTTTGCGGTAAGGCAAGGCAGGAGTTGAAGATACATGGGCTGTCTCTGATTCTCACTCCCAGCTTCCCTATTTACAGATAAATTTGAGGCCTCACACCTTACCACATTTCAGGTACGCTAGCTTTGGTTGGTGCAATGCTGGAAAGACAAGAGGTGCATGTTCTGAAAGCAATGAGTGCTGTGACAAACTCGGTTACAAGATTGTCCCAACAAATCCGCATCCTACTAGAAATCCACATTGAGCGCAGTGAGAACCCTACCTTCCTTT